GGAGCTGCGGCGCGGGCTCGAGGTGGCCGATAAGGGCGGCAACTACCTCGCTCTCATCGACGACATTGACTTTCGAGCGGAGTCTCTGCTTGCCTTGCCGGCCCTCCTCTTCACAGAGACACCTCGCACTACCCCCCTCGGCACGCTCTTCTGCGCCAAGGTGGACCGCTCGATGCCGACCAACGTGGAGTATTGGTCGATGAACGAGATGGTCCAGCGCATCTCTGAGAACCACGAGCTGGTCAAGGCGATCCCTGGAGGTGCTGCGCCACTCGTGCGGACCGAGGCGGCGGCGCGGCGCCTGCGCTGCGCGTACGTTGCTGCCGCGATGACGCTCCTAGGGGGCGACACGTCGCCGGGTATTCACGGCGTCAACGAGGAAGTAGGGCTGGACCTGGCAGTCGCGATCGCCTCGTACGTCTGCTCGCTGTCGCCACTCGTCGTCGCTGCGACGCACGAGCCGAGCGGAACCGAGGTGTACAAGCTCGATCTCGAGGCTGTGATGAGGCTCCACCGTGTTTGGTACATCCACCGCCGCTCCCCGAACATCAAGGCGAAATTGAACCCTCGCTTTGACGCAAACAACGCGACGGTCAACGCGGCGCTCGAGTATGGCCAGTACACGTGGGCGCAGATTACTACCGCCACCGAGGCGGTGGTCCCGCCGGTCGGGCAGGCAGGCCAGCCGGTGCGCACCCAGAAGAACTTGCTGAAAGTCATCCAGCTCTGCGAGGCGCGGCTGCTGCAGTGGGCTCTCGCGCGAACCCCCGAGGCCAGCACGGCCATGCCCGACATCATCATCGCGATCAACGACAAGCTTCCCGTCTCGGTGTACAACGCGGCGGTCAAGGTCGAGGCGCCGGAGCGGCTGCCGAGGCTTGGGCGAGGGGGCGGCGGCGCCAAGCGCCAGTGCGTCACCGCCGCCTCGCTCATTTCTGCGCAGGAGCTGCAGGAGCAGTACGGTGTCGACCTGTCGGGGCTGGCTACCCTCGAGACGACGGACAAGAAGGGAGCCAAGGCCATCGTCTCGGGCCAGCTGCTAGCGCGTGCGAGCGACCGCGACGCCGAGAAAACGGCACAAAAAAGAAAATGGTTCCCCACGCTGCTCGAGCGGCTGCGGCTCGCTGTTGCGTCGGAGCTTGCAGGCGGCGCCGAGTCGACGGCGGCGGAGACGTCGACGGCGGCGGAGACGACGACGGCGGCGGAGACGTCCACGGCGGCTGCGGCGGCCGCGGCACACGCCGGGGAGGAGGGAGGCGCCGCGAGCGCCGAGGAGGAGGAGGAAGAGGAGGGAGAGGAGGAGGCGGGGGAGGGAGAGGAGGCAGGCGCCGAGGAGGAGGACGAGGAGGTGTTCTTGTGCGGCGCGTGCGGGCAGGAGGACCCTCCCGAGGCGGTGACGACAGAGTGTGCTCGCTGCTTCCGGCGCGTCGCAAAGGCGGACACCGTCAACGACGCGTCTGTGGACCGCAGCGTGTGCAGCGGGAAGGAGGCGGAAGCTTGTGCGGCGGCGGCGAGAGCGATGGGGCGTGGCGGGAAGAGGCGCCGGCAGGCGACACAGGCGGCGCAGGAGACGGAGTGGATAGGGTGCGACGGACCGTGCGCTCGCTGGTTCCACACCTCCTGTGTTGGCGGCGTGGTCCCGTCCGGTACGGACGACTGGTTCTGCCCGGACTGCCGCACGGCCGCCGAGTCGGACGATGAAGCGGATGTGCTTCCCGAGGGCCTCTAAACTAGTACAGAGTCACACATGCTTAACTACAAAAATCAGCGCCGCCCCTCGAGCACAAACTCGGGCACCGCGCACGAATTGAATTTGAGGTCCGGCGAGGCACCACACACAAAGCTCTGTGGGCTGAGCGCCGCGCTCGACCCGTCCGCCCAGCGCGGGAGGACACGCACACGGCCGCACTCGCGGCAAATGCGGAGCTGCACGCACTCCTCACCCACAGCATCGAGAGTGAGCCACGCCTGCCTGGGCTGCGGCGGCGGCGCTCCTGGGCGCCACACGCAGAGGGCGTAGGAGCGGCACTCCCAGAGGTACCCCTTCTTGCGCTGGTTGACGTCAGTGAACGGGTTGGGGAAGACGAGGCCGCCGCGTATGTAGTGGACCTCGTGCGCACCCTCGCCAACGAGGCTCTCGTACCACCGCGTGTGCGACAGGATAGGGAGCAGCGCGACCAGAGTGCAGCCCCGCGCGCGCACGTCCACCTCGACCAGCTTGCGGAGGTGCACCTCGAGACCCGCCGCGCCGTTGGCCATATCCTGAGGCGCGTACGCGGGGTTGGCGTAGACGATGGCGCCCGGAGGAATGACAGCACGCGTGAGGACGTCGTCCTCGAGCGTCGCGTACGCGCCGCACACCGCCGAGAAGGGCGTCGCCATCGCGTCAAAAGTTGGCTTCCAGATGCGGCGCACCGTGGCGACAACGGAGGCGGGGCTCTCAAACTGCTGGTGCATCTTGACGACAAGGACGGAGAGCGGCGGGTCCGCGGCGTCGGGCTCGAGCTCCCAGCGGGAGGCGCCGATGCGCCCGCCTGCCCTGCGGCGCGGCTCGGGCGTCGGGCGGCGGCGAAAATGTGCGGCTGCTCTTGCTAGGCGCGCCTGACGGCGCCGTGTTCGCGGTGCGACAACGCGTGCAAGTACTCATTGATACCGACGGCCGTGCGGGGCGCGGAGAGCTCGACGCCGGCGCACCATCCCTTGGGCCGCGGCCGCCTCGGGTACGTCAGGGCGCCGCCGCGGCCGAGGGCGGGTGCCTGGATGAGGGCGACCGCTGTCGTGGTCAGCTCTTGGTGGATGGTGAGGAACTATATCAGTGCACACGTGAGCGCCGGCGTGGCGCGCGCGGTGTGCGAACGGGCCGGGAACCCCCCCAGGGCAGCGCGCTCGCAGACAAGAGCCGAGGTTTGGCGCGGCACCACGCGCCTGGTCGCCGGCGGTCCGGCGCGAGCGTGTGGTCCTCGGGCGGGCCGGCATCATTCGTCGCGCTGGTCGCCGGCTTGTAGGCGTCGGGTGGTCAACGGGGACGGGCGGGTGGCCGACGACTTGAATGCGCACTTGCGGACATTAATATATAACATCTTCGCGAAAGGGCGAGGTGCCCCCAAGACGCCCGGCGTGCGAGCACGCGCCGCCCCGCCGCCTACACACCCGCGCCCGCCGCCGCCCGCCCGCCAGCACGCCCGCCGACCCCCCGCCGACCCCCCGCCCATTGCACATGCGCCGCCTCAGCCGCCTCCCTTTTTGAACGGCAGGTGCTTCCGTTCCCTCCGACGTTGCATATGCGGGCGCTGTTCTCAATTAGTGTCATCGCATTCGCGAGCGCATTCACCGACTTCGTCGCACCGGGAGATCGGCAGGTCACCTTTGCCCCCCATTCAGACGCGGCGCAGGCGTTGCACGGGGGGTCCGGAGGCTGGTCGTGCGAGGCCCCTCTGGAGGCAACGGACTGCGTGCTATCGTCGTGGCATGGCTGGAAGGGTGACAGGGACAAGTTCCAAGCCAAATGCAAGGGCAACCTGGTGCGCTGGGGCGACGATAGCGGCGTTCAAGACTGCGGTGTGGCATGCTTTGCCTGCAGCTACATCCGCGCATGCTGCGACACGTGTAAGACAATCCTGGCTGTGGAGGGGTCCTACGTGCCCCTCGGATGCACGAGTGTGCCGAAGGAGGTCTCGCAGACCACTGGGGTGACGGTGTCCACGAGCTCTTCATGGTCGCGCACCGACGAGTGGTCGTCTTCTGTGAGCTCGAAGGTCGCTGCCTCTGGTATAGTAGAGGGCATTGACGGCTCGGTTGAGTTGTCAGCGGAGACGAAGCAAGGACTCTCGATGACCATGTCGAGTTCGTGGAGCAAAACACAGTCAATCAGCACAACAATCAAGTTTACACAGCCCGCAAACACGTGTGCGTGGGGGTTCCAATGGAAGATAACAGACAGCTGTGGCATCAAGTACGCAAGGACCAGCGATTTCGTCACGACTGTCACTGGAAATCCTCCGTGCTGCTTGCCATTTATGGAGGACAAGAACACTGGCATGTGCATCGCAGACAATGCGGGGCATATCGTTAACCTTTGCTCGGCGACATGAACATCTCCACCATGCAATAGAGAAGTCGAGGTGCACGGGAGTTGGAGGTCCATGTCGATTGTGTCGTCGTTATCCCCTCGTTGCGTCTCCCCCAGCTCCCGCGTGTCTCGCCACGATCCCCGTCTCTGCATGAGTGAGTGCGGAGTGAGTGAGTGAGTACGACACACACACACACGCACACACACACACACACACACACACGTCTCTGCGGAGGTCCATGTCGACTGTCGTCGTTATCCCCTCGTTGCGTCTCCCCCCTCTCGCGAGTCTCTCTTAACCTAACTGTATGCGATGCGCGCTACTTGTCTCTTATCAACCTGCGCGACGCCCGAGCGGGCTGCCTGTGTCGGCGAGCGCCGCACAGAGCTTCTATCGGTATCGCGCGGGCCGCGGGCGCGGCGACGCTCAGCGACGAGCGCACAGCGCCTGCAGGTACGGCCGAGCCCAGTAGCATGAGAGTGTGAGAGATTTTTCTTAAATTTTACAACAAAAGTCTCTCTACAACTCACTGGGCACGGGACTGGCGCGCACTGTGGCACTAACACGCAGCTCACACAGGTACGGCTTTCCACACCAAAGTCGCTACTGCCAAAATACTTTTTAACACACACAAAAATACGAAAATAGTCTCACTTGAAAACGTGGCGCGACGCGCGGACCGACGCCGTCTGACTCTGAGCACTGAGTCTCCGACTGCGGGCTCCGAGATGCGGCAAACGGGGACAGACACGACCAGAATCCCCTCAGTTCTCGCCTCAGAGCGTGCCCCGGCGAGCCGGCGAAGCGGCGCACGCACAGCCCATAGCCGGGTGAGTAGTACACCCCTGATCGTGTAACAGTGTAGACAGGCGCCGCAGCCCTTGGAGCCCCATCGATCGACACTGGCTCCGGTTGCTCCTCCGGCCGTCGTCACGCTCCGACCGCAGACTCGACCATCGCCTTGAGCGCTTCCATTCGCGCGCCTATCATCGGCGAGGGCCGGCTGCTCAGAGACTCGAGGGTGGCTTCGACACCACCGCGTCGGGAGGCTAGCTCTTCCGCGGGGCGCGGGGGGCGTCTGAGGAGGGGGCGGCGCGCGCAGGCGGCGCGCGTCAGTGGCCGCGCCTTGCACGGTGTCGACGCGCCGGCCCTCGCGATACACCTGGAAGGTCGGCATCGCGAGCACCTCGGCGGCCTGCGAGACAGACTCGAGCTCGTCGACGTCAACCTTTACGAAGAGCGCCCCCTTGTGCGCCGCCGCCAGCTCCTCGAAGAAGGGCTTGATCCTCTGGCACGGGCCGCACCACGTGGCGGTGAAGTCGACCACGACCGGCACCTGCGAAAAGGGCCGCCGCTGATCCGGCCGCCGCGCGCGCATGTGCCGCCGGGCCGGCCCGTCGCGCACGCCTCCGCCGACAGCGCCATGGCTGCGTCCCAGTCGTCCTCGCTGAGCATGGCGACGACGCCGCCTCGCTTGGCGCGCAAACCCTCCGCCAGCTCAGCGGCCCCGCCGGCCGCTCCGCTCGGCGGCGGCGCACTCCTCTTGGGCGCGGCCTTCCAGCCGATGCGGTCCCACACGTTTGCCTGCGTCCACTCTGCAAACGCCTTCCAGTACGCGAGGATGGCCTGCTGCGTCGGGGGCGGAAGCCGCCTCCAGACCGGCCGCGCGAGGTACGCGAGAATCGGCAGCAGCGCGCTGATCGGGACGCAGACGGGGCCGATGCAGATGAGCGGCATCGGAGCGTGCTCGGAGAGGCGGAGATTTGTTCGGGCGAACAACAGGCGGCGGGGGGCGGAAAGGTGGAGCGCAGCGGACACGCGTTTTCTTTTGTTTCCCGGCGGCGCGGCCGAGTATGGCACCGCAGCGACAGCGCAGAGCAGCAGTAGCCGCAGCCGCAGCCGCCACCATCGCCGTCGCGCGGTCGCTCGCCATCTCTACAGTCTACCACAGCACCCCCAACCAACACCACACACCAACCGAGAGAGAGAAGATCACTGGGGTCGTGATTTCTTGTTGGTCTTTAAAAATCTCTCTCTCTCCCAACCGAAGAGCAAGAACCAACCGAGCCACACACACACACGCACACCACATCCCCCCCCCCCCCCCCCAATACAAAAACAAAAACAAGCGCGCGTGAACAGGGCTCCAGGCCCCAAACAAAATGAGTGAGTTAGAGTTGTTTGGTATTGAAAATCTCTCCTCCAAACACAAAATGTCACCGCCGGAAATCGAATCCGGGTCGCCCGCGTGGCAGGCGAGCATCATGCCACTAGACCACGGTGACGTTTCGAGCCCAGAGTCACTCGATGCCGAGTAGGCACTGGTGAGCAATCGCTGCGTTCATGTGAAGAGGCACAAATCTGGCAACTCATATACCTCACAATTTTTGGTGGAGGGGTGGAAGGAGGTCAGGGTGAGCGCCTGGGCGATCGTGTTGTAGAAGTTCTCCTTGTCATTCGAGATGGTCGCGTTCTCCGGCTTCGTGTTCTGGTGAGTGCTGTTCTTGGAGCACGCCTCGTTCTTCGGGAAGTTGACAGGCGCATGGGCGCGCTCCTCCGCCGCCTCAGCCGCCTCGAGGTCGGCAAGAGCGGCCGTCGCCTCGGCCGAGTCGCGCCCGTGCGTGCTGCACCTCGAAGTGGACGCGGCTTCTGCGGTGGCGGTGGTGACGGTGGCGTCCTCGAGTGCCTCCGCCCTGGCCTGGCAACCTACTCCCCCACCTCCCTCCCAACCAAACACGAAAGACCACAAAACTGTCACCGCCCTGGCAACCTACACCCACCTACCACCCAACACTACACGAAGAACACAAAAATGTCACCGCCGGAAATCGAATCCGGGTCGCCCGCGTGGCAGGCGAGCATCATACCACTAGACCACGGTGACGTTTCGAACCGAGAGTCACTCGGAGCCGAGATTGTCGGCATGAGAGTTTCGACTTGATGGATGATGGAAATGTGCCGCACAGCGCCCTATATCACTTCGTCTCACATTTGTCCGTGCGCGCTCCCAGCGCCGAGCCGCGGCTCCACGCGCCACCTGGGCTGCCTCTGGCACGGCCGGGGTCCGCCGAGAGGCTGGGCTTGGCCGGCGGCGCGACGCGTGGCCTGTGCTGCGGCCATCTCGGACGTTCAAGCGGCGCCAGCCAGCGGCTCGGCCGCGCATCCTTCACACACGCCGCCACGACCGGGATGAGAGGGCCCGGTGTCGAGCCCTGGTGCGAGCTGCATGCGAGGGGCGGCTATGGCCACAGCAGGTTCACCAGATGGACGTCAAAGCTGCCGTCGGGGGCGTGCTGTCGTGGGGAGAGCCCGAGACCGCTGCAGAGGAGCCGAGTGCAGTGGCGAGCCAGAGGCTACCTGGGTCGCCAAGTGGTGGTCCTTGCCCATTCTGAGCAGGGCTGTGCTTTGGTGGGGCTGTGCTTGAGCATGTGTGAACTGGGAGTGCGTGCCGGCGGTGTCTGTGGGTGAAACAGGCGTGTGTGAGGCTGCAAGAGCCGTGGTATGAGCCAGAGTGAGCTTCATCACCCAAAGTAAGGACGGTCTGGGACAGCCCAGGCTTGATCCTGATGGGCCTGGGCCAGGAGAGCGACAGAGAAGGCGAGCTGGCGAGCTGGGAAGCCGCTTCGTCGGCATGGCCGGTGTGCGTGTTCACACGAGAGAGATGCAAGTGCCAAAAAGCGTTGTTTGCGGCTATTGCTCAAAACTGTGGGAGAGAAGGCCTACATATTATGACTGTACCCATGACTCTGGTGCATGAGGGCTGCGGGACGGGACGTATCGCGGTCGTTGGCGCCGATGATGACCTCCGGAAAGCCCTCGCAATCGCCTCGGATGGGGTCTACCGGGGACAATCTCGAGCCCTCTCCGTGGCATCACGAGCCAATGTGGGCTTGAAGACCCAAGATAAGTGTGGTTTCAGACACCTCAGGCTTGCTACGGATGGGCCTGGGCCTGGAGAGCAACAGAGAAGGCGAGGTGGTGAGCTGAGAGGCTGGATTCTACCGTTCCTCACAACTGGCATCCCAGTTGT